AGTTAATCACATACTATGCTAGGAAGAGTATGATGAACATATTAAAGATGATAGCGTGAAGTTGTAGTCCGGACTTTGGATTCCATGTGAGAGCGAAATTAGATGAAGCTCCTGAATGAGCAGTGGCGCGACGAGCGCTTTTACCGTGACCCTTCGCTGACACCATCGTAGACATGGCAGCGATGAGCAGGAACAAGAGGATGATGACGACTTTCGTAAATTTCTTAGTTGCAGAGAAGCAATTTGTCTTCATGCTTATCGTATGTACGAACTAACTAGCTTAGCAAGCTATATGAACACTTTAAAAAAGTCAATTAGTATAATCTATTGATGTAGAGAGTATTTATACGAAATGACTATATATATACTTGTAGACAAGGACACATTTGTATTTGATGGAATGACTTTCACACAAAGTTATTTATACATGACATTTGCACATACGTACTTGTATGGAATTACTTCCACATGAAGATACTTGATGTTTGCCCCACTAGAGTAAAAAAAATGGAGAAATTGTCCTAAATAGAATTAAAATATACGCAGTGTGTACTATGTAGTATATGGTTAAATTTCTTGAACAGGGATACATGCTTTATATTCCTTAAATAGAATTGCACATTACATTTATACTCTCAAAACGATTAAATTTCTCCTAATATTCCTTAACATTTGCATATTTTGCTCACTCATATGCACCCATACAATTATTACTGCACTGAAATGCAGTATTTGCGGTTGTGTGCTAGATACCGGTTCTTGTGCATGATGTATTTGTTTTGATTCTCTATGTCCACACTATGTGCTAGATACGAGTTTTCTAACGTATATACGTATTGTGCTGTAGGTACGAGTTGATGTGTATTATATAATTGTTTAAACTTTAAACTTCAATATTAGTTCTTAATTGTTATGCGTTAGATACTGCTTTTTGTGATTGAGGTACTTGTTCTGGTGCTTTATATACTCCTTTTTGTGATGTAGATACTCCTTTTCGTGTGCATTAAATATTGATTGATGTGCGTTAAATACATGTTCTTGTGTGTGAGATAGTTGAAGATGCTTGTTGTAATTTTTTATACACAAATAATACCTTTTTTTAAAAAAATTAATTATATGCTATATTGGTGTCATATGAAAGATAAAAAAATATTTAATTTGATAAAATTTTTGATAAAATTGGATTATAATTTAAAAAGTTAAATCAATTTTAAACTAAAATCATTTTATATGTTTTGAGATTTTATTTTTCCCACTTTTTTGGAAAGTTGTAGCCTACAACCGTTAAATGAATTAATAAAATTACTCTTATGTCCATTGTTAGTTACACACTTACACGTCTCACCTTTCCATTTGTATAAGATAGGTTACAATGTGAGGATTAGGATTAATGAGATGATAGATTAGGATGTGCTCTCACTTCACGCAAGGAGTGTTCTCATTAGAACCAGGTGAGAAGTGTGTCTTAGGTCTTAGGCTGAAAACTGTGAAATTTACCTAATAGAGACAATAAGGTAACTTTTATAACAGAAATCATAGCTTATAAATCCAACAACTCTATATCAAAAGTATAATTTTATAATGAAAAATTGAGGAAGTACAGATTACAATGAAAAACACTATTAGTAGTTGAAAACTATTTACAAAAAAAAATATTTATAAAAAAGATATTTATTTATTTACCAATACATATATGTCCTAATAAACTATTAATACGTTAAACATAACTTATAAAGCCAAATGTTTAACTTTTACAACTTTGTAAATTATTTCGCAGTTCTCAGTCTAAGAACACTTCTCACCTAATCCGCTCCTTATATATGTGTGTGTGGGTGGGGGGGAGGGGGCTAGGAGATTGTGGCTATGGAGGGTCGGCACACTACAAGAAATCCCGAAATTACTGTCCGTTTTTTGTGCCTGATTCAAACAGAGACGGTAATTAGTGTCGGATTTAATTTGGGATAAAAATCTACCAGTAATTGGCGCCCGATTGAAGCCGCCACGATTTGTTGACGGAAAGCGCGACGAAGGGAGTATATTTTAATTCTATTTAGGACAATTTCTCCATTTTTTTACTCTAGTGGTGCTAACATCAATATATCTTCATGTGGAAGTAATTCCATACAAGTACGTATGTGCAAATGTCATGTATAAATAACTTATACTCCCTAGTTAACCGTGTTCAAAGTTTACATCATGATCAATCACTACATCATAGTAACTTTGAACATAATTATAGTAACTAAAAGTTATCAAGTCACATTTTTGTCCGTAACTCTTAAAAGAGTAATATTAGTGGAATTTTATCTAAATTTAATGCTTAATAGTCATATGTTCGGAAATTAAAGAAAAATGTCATTTTTTGCCAATTAGCCCTTTTTAGTAATATTGAGGTCAAACCCCATATATATATATTTTACACACCTTTTAGGCTTAGTTTGTTAAAAATTTTAGTTAATAAAGTTGTATCTTTGTACATATTTTTATTATTTGATGTTAGTTTGTATTAGTGCAATTCTATACGGGTATTTTATATTTTTAGGAACTTTTGATGTCATTTGGATACATTTGAGTGTGAAGAAGAGAAGAAAATAAAAGTTCAAGTTGGAAGACAACAAAAGTGGAATCTCCTTCAAAGCAAATATGGAGTACAAAAAAGAAAGCAAAAAGTGAAAAACATGAAGGTGGAATTTGAACCTTTGCCAAGACGGGGAGTAGAGCTAAGCAAAACCAGCGCACTACTATGTCAAAGTGGAATTTGGTAGCTGGAAAGCTGTATACATTATTGTAGTCGCAGCACCGAAAAGAAGAACAAAAAGCCATCACGGGGATTCGAACCCGCGACATACAAGCTATGAAATGTCAATACATCAACTCCCGCTGCGCCAAAGTCACTTGTTGGTTTCCTTTATACGCCTTTTGGTATCTAAACACATCGTTTCCGTAAATTCCAGCCATTAATGATTAATCATGCTTAATCCATCTCCTTCCACACATAATCTCGAGCCAACTTCTCTCTAAACCTCCCAGAATCATTTCCTCCTCCTTCTCTCTTCATTCTTCATCTCCAAATCATCAACCAATCTTCAACATCAATTAATCACTTTCTCAATCAAGATTAAAGTCAAGATTAGCACCAAGCTCCAAGGATTGTCATCTATCACAAGTTTGATCTTCCTTATCTCTTTAAATCTTGTACTTCAATCATGAATTCATCTATTTCTAAGCTTCCCAACATGTATAGCTAAATAAATTTGGGGCTAGAAATTGGTTAATTAATTGTTCTTATCATGTTTTAATTTGTATTGATTTTAATTGTTAAGTTTGTTCTATTTAGATTGTTGTGTCCAGAAAATTAATTATGTTATGTTTGTGATATATATTATGATGAGTACTCAATCATAAACATATTGTTTGATAAATATACAAATGAACACTTTCTGAACACACCGTTAAACTTCTTTTACCTTGTCCCGGATTGAAGTTTTACGGGAGAATTTAATTATTTAATTATATTATTTACACCACGGGGTTGGGTAAATAATATAGTTAATAATTAAGGTTGTCGTTGCACTTAAACAACTAGTCTCGCTTTGGCCATCACTGGAAAATGTTGACTAGTTACTTATTTTAGATGACTTGTGTTGGGTCCTAAAATATTTATCCACAACTTCTCACAATCTATCTACGAATAAAATTAGCAATTATTTCTTTCAATTAAACATTGAACAATTAGTTACCAATTTCTACCCCTACTTGCTATTGGTTGAACTTTGTGTTGATAAAAATCTCTCATCTCAATCACTTTTATTTTATTACTTTTCCAAGCAACCAAAAAAATCAAAAGAAACGCACTTCCAACTTTAATCCTTAGTCTGTGCTTAATTATTTTATTTACCGCTTCTCTGTGGTTCGACACCCTACTTCCTTGGGTAAAAAAATAGTTGCGTGCCCATTATATGCTACACACCAACTTGGCGCCGTTGCCGGGGAAGCGGTTTTGAAAAAAAAAGTGAAAGCATGAACTTTTGATTTTAGTTATTGTAAATTGTGTGTATATTATTTTGTTGTTATCTTGTTTGCTCTTGCAGGTTCAAAAAAAAAAATACAAAAAAAATATGAGTAATTAATTAAAGTTCAAAAAAAAAGTAAAAAAAAATTGAACTGTGATTAATTACCTTATCTGATCATTGGAGTTGGACACTTTGACTGAACATATTTCTGGACATTTGGATCATTAGACATATTGTCACATTTTAATTCAAAGGATACTCCGCCTTTTATGGTCGGACCCGCTAATTTGTACATATTAATTGAACGGATAATCCGCCTATATGGTCCGGACCGTTTACTTGAACATAGTAATTTAAATGATACTCCGCCTACATGGTCGGGACCGTTTATTTTCTTTTTTATGGTGGTATATAAAACCCCAACTTTTTTAATTTTTGCACTTTAATTATCGCAATTTAATTTATGCACTTTAATTATCGCAATTTAGTTTCCGCACTTTAATTTTCAGCATTTTTTGATTTTGCATCCCCAAAGCTTGTCGGCTCGTTGTCCGCTTGTTTGGTGGCGTTGCACTTTTTAATTTATTTCTTAATAATCCCCAGACTGTCGGCAACAACAGGCATCTTGGTGGAGACTGTATTTATTACTGTAGTTATTTTTTTTTCTTCCTCTCAAATCACCATATCTGTCGGCCCAGCCGCATCCTGGTGAATTACTGTATTTATTAATATTGCTTTAAGGGCTCACTAGTCTCGGTTTATACCAATTGACTACGTGCGAACCTTAATTAATTAATTAATTCTGCATTTTTTTTCTTTTCATCTCTCTCTCTCTCTCTCTCTCTCTCTCTCTCTCTCTCTCTCTCTCTCTCTCTCTCTCTCTTCTCTCTCTCTCTCTCTCTCTCCTCTCCTCTCCTCTCTCTCTCTCTCTCTCTCTCTCTCTCTCTCTCTCTCTCTCTCTCTCTCTCTCTCTCTCTCTCTCTCTCATCTCTCTCTCTCTCTCTCTCTTCTGCTTATGCTTACACGTTCACGTGGTGCAATTGTGAATTGTTATTCTTCTCTGACATTGAAAAGCACATACGTGAACAGAAAAAGATAAAAAAAAATGTCAAACGATATTGTTGTAAATGAGCAGGAGCCAAATCAACAAATTGTGGATCAGGCTACGAGGACCAGGAAACCGTTGTATGATTATGTTACGCCTCCCGTGGTATGAGCATGACAGTGTTTATTCCACCGGAGGTTAACATGAACCAATTTGAAATCAAGCCTGCTATCATCCACATGGTTTCAAATGATCGATTTGGCGGAGCGCCAACGGAGGATCCAAATAATCACATCACAAAGTTCCTTCGAGCTTGCAACCCCTATAAAAATCAATGGTGTGCCATCTGATGCTGTCAGACTACGCCTATTCCCATTCTCTCTACGGGATCGAGCTCAGAGTTGGCTTGACTCTTTTCCGGACAATCACTTCTCCACTTGGGATCAACTTCATGGTGAATTTCTCAAAAGATTTTTTTCCGCCATCTAAAACGGCGAAAATCCGGAGAATGATTCAAAATTTCAAACAAAATCCCAATGAGCCCCTCTATGAGGCTTGGGAAAGATTCAAAGATCTCCAGCGACAGTGTCCACATCATAACATCCAAAACTGGCACTTGATGACTGCTTTCTATGAAGGCCTACATGAAAATTCTCGGATACTTGTGGATGCGTCAGCAAATGGATCATTCATGTGCCTAGAACTTGAAGAGGCAGAAGAATTGATGGAACGCATTTCATCAAATGGATCAACATGGTATTCTGAGCGATCATCTGCTCCACCAAAAGTTGGAGGCATGTACGAAGTTAATCAAATGTCGGCCATAACCACAAAGGTCGATAACATTATGACTCTGATCCAAAAGATGGCACAAGTCTCTCTTGTGCAAAATTCTGCATCAACTCCAACTCCCGTTCCCGTTCTTATGTGTGAATCTTGCGGTGGACAACACAAATCAGTCCACTTGTCCATGGGGATCAATGGAACAAGTTGACTATGTCAACTACCAATACGCAGCCCCAACAAAATCAGTTTTGGTAATTTCAATCCTCAAGGAAGAATTCATCCCGGTTTTTCCTGGAGCAAATCAAAATGGAGCTGCTAATCCACAACCATCTTACCGCAGTGCACCACCCGGTTTCCAAAACCAACAACAGCAATTCAGAGGTGGCCAAGGTATTGTGAACCAGCAACAATACAAACCTACTCAAAATCTTCCATACCCTTCAAATCAACAACAAAAACCACTTCTTCCCACTCCTGAAACAACCCAAACTCCCGTCCTAGAAAACATTGTTGACCAACTTCTCAAGTCCCAATTATCTCAAGCTGAAACTCTGAAACAAATCACTGAAGAACTTGGTCAACTTCGAGCTCACAACAGGATGCCTGAAAATCAAATTGCTAATCAAGCATCTACATCATCAACTAAGGTGACGGGTAAGCTACCTGCTTGTCCAGAAAACCTGAGGGAGCAAATGAATGCCGTCACTACTCGGAGTGGGAAGCAACATCAATCCTTGCCTCTTTCTAATGATGAACACGAACATGAAGTGTTGGAGGAAGGGGTCGTGAAACAACAGAAAGGTGGAAACAACAACAATGAACATGATGTCGGTACCATGCCGAAATCAACTGATGACCGTGAAGGATCAAAGAAACAAAGAGAAAGTTCGGTAAGGAAATATATTCCCCCAGTTCCTTATCCGAATAGATTGAAGAAAGCTAATATGGAGGAGGCGGAGAACTAAATTTTTGAATGTTATCAAGCAATTGGATATCTCAATTCCTTTGCTTGATGCCATTACAGAGATTCCTTCATATGCTAAATTTCTCAAAGACATTCTCACAAAGAAGAAAGAGAATCCAGCCACTGTTGCAATGAGTCAAGAATGCAGTGCCATCATCCAAAATAAGATCACACCCAAGTTACGTGATCCTGGAAGCTTCTCAATTCCATGTACCATTGGTGGATCCAAACTTAACAAAGCTCTTTGTGATCTTGGTGCAAGTGTTAGCTTAATTCCTTATTCACTATGTCAAAAGCTACACTTGGGGGATCCCAAACCAACAACAATGGCATTACAATTGGCTGATCGATCTGTCAAATATCCTATCGGCATTCTTGAAGATGTTCCTATCAAAATTGACAAGTATTATATCCCAGGAGACTTTGTTGTCTTGGATATGGAAGAAGATGCCCGAGTTCCTGTTATTCTCGGGAGACCTTTTCTAGCTACGGCAGGAGCAATTATAAACGTCAAAAAGGGTACCCTTATCCTTGAGATTGGGGATGATAAGATCGAATTCAATGTAAAAGAGCTGAGTAAGGACACACCTTGTGTCCTTGATGGTTACTATGTTGATGTTATAGACTCTTGTACTACTAATACATTTGATGAGTCGTATCGGCTTTCTAAAGATCCCATGGAGTACACCATACAAGAATCTATTGCAGATGAAATGGTGAATTTATGTCTCGAAATGTTGCAAAGCATATTTTTACCAATGCCTAAAGCATTTAAATTTGAAGTGCTTAATCTTGAAGATCAATCCTTGAATATCAAAGGAAAAGCACCCAAAGTGAGAGACAAGAGGAAACTTCTGTGTATTGCCTCACTGATCCAGAATATGAATGAAAGGCATGGGTCAAGCTAATGACCTTAAACGAGCGCTTCTTGGGAGGCAACCCAAGTTTGTAAATTTCTCAAAAAAAAAAAACACAAAAAAAACAAAAAAAAACAAAAAAAAAAGAGAAAGACAAAAAAAGATTAGTCTAGGTTTTCTTTATTTCTTTGGACTCTAAAGGGGCCACATCCGCTCAAAGGGATCTCCAAACGTCATGCGGATAAACAATTCCAGATTCGGCCCGCACTACAGGGAAGTTTTCTTTACACTCCTTTAATTTCTTTTCCACTGAGGACAGTGCAAATTTTAAGTGTGGGGGAGTGGGTAGTTCGACCCTGATTTCTTGTGTGAATTTTTTTTCCTTGTGTGTTTGTGTGATTTTGTTTTATTTATTTTGTGTGTTTTGTTTGTGAATAAAGACCAGTCTTGTCTAAAATGCAACTATAAAATAACAACACATTAGTTACACTTTTTGTTACTAGTTACCTTCATAACTTTATTAAATTATTCATTCACCTCTTTTGACGAAATGTGGTTCGAGTTTGATAAGTGTCACTGTAATTTTTTGAGAGTAACTTAGTATGAGCTTTGAACTTGATTCTTTTTCACAATTTAACATTAAACACCTTAGATTTTATTTTTCCAATTTATTGGTTTAATAGTTGAATTAGTGAAAGTTTATGCAGTTTAAGATGTTTATACATTTATTCTCCTTGAAATTTAATTTGAACTTGACACATTAGAAATGATTTAGGCCATCTTTGTTTACCTATCAAGCCAAACACTATCCCTTTGTAAATAAATAACACTTTCCCTAGTAACCCTATTTGAGCCTTTTCAGTGTACAAGTGTAAAATAACTTACTTCACTTGTTACTAATTTTTCTTGTGACCTTGTAAATACATAACCTTGTGAAATCCTACCCAAGTCATTTTTGTTTGAACCCTAGAGTAGTTTGTATTGTTACTTGAGAGTGGATAAAATGGAGCTTCTGTTAAGTGTCATATTAGTGATGTACATATTTGTTTGTAAATTTTGGGGTTAGTTTTTCATTGTAATATTTAGTGTGTGCCTTCTTAAAAAAAAAAGTTCAAAAAAAAAAAAGAAAAAAAAATGAAAAAAAAGTAAAAAAAGTAAAAAAAAAAAAGAAAAAACAAAAACAAAAACGAAGAGGCACATTAATTTCTTGTTGTGATTTCTACTGTAAAACCCCATTTTTACTTCTTTTTCATGTTTATATTTCTCATTGCTTTGTATGCTCCAAGTGCTTGTAAATTCGTGTGATTATCCGCTCAGTATAAGTGCAATCTAACTCTCTTTGTAAATTCTCATAACAAACCTTTCTTCCAACTAGCCACACTCATTAACCTCGCCACAACCCGAATAAAAGTCCTAATTGATCTATTTGTGTCCGTTTTCGAATCCCTTATAATCTAACAGCAAAATGATCTTGGGGCTGCTTTTCCCGCTCAGAACTGTCGCTGTCAGCAGCAAGGATTATATTCTAATTAAATGAGTGCTTGGTTAGGGTTTAAAGGCAAAATGAGGGACGGATTGCAATATTTCAGAGTTCAGGTGTGGTTGGAGGTTTTTGGGTTACTGTTCGGATTTCATATAGATTTTTCGGCATCTTATATCAGTTTTCATTGGTCCAGTTTGGGGGTTAGCTGGCATACGGATTTCTCCCAGATTTCCTACTCATTTTACTTAATTTTCATTGGACGAGTACAATTCTAAATTTGAATTTCAAAAAATTGTGAACAGTTTTCCCCCCATCCCATTGAAGAGTATTATTGGTCTGGACTTAGTTCTCCATCCAGCTATAAATAGAGTACATCGAGTGTTTCAATCTCTACACCTCATATCCAGCAAATTACACAGAAGCAAAGATATTCATTCCTAAACATGGTAGGCATGTGGTCCTTATTTCGTGAGATTGACCAGAGCAAGACCACATGGGCGATAAAGGCTAGGGCAATAAGGGTGTATCGTGAGCCAGCCCATGATTGCTTTCCGGAATCGCTGGAGGTTGTTTTCCATGACGAAGAGGTTTGCACGTTTATAATTCATTCTTTTTCTCTAATACATTTGCATTTAAACATATATGTTAACACTTTGACAATAAATATCAGGGATCCAGGATGCATGCGCACATCCCTGACCAGTTCATCAACAAATTCATTGGCATATTCAAAGAGGGGCGGGTTTTTGCAGTGAAAAATTTTATGGTTGAGGAGAACTACATGTTCTTTAAGACCTCAACAAGTGCCTATAGACTCTGTTTTTTTAACAAAAGTGCTGCCTTTGAGATCAGGGGAGTCCCATTCCCCATAAGAACTTTCTCATTGGTGTCTTTTGCTTCATTGCAAGCTCAGGACAACTTAGATGAAAAATATGGAATTGGTGAGAATTTTATTAACCTTTGCAGGGATAACATTATGAATCTGACTTCAATAGACCCACTAAAGTACTTATTTTATCCAGACGTGATAGGCCAGGTAGTTCACGATAAAGACCCGAAAACAATTTTAAAGAATGACAGGCCCCGAAAGCTGATGGAGATGGTTTTAGGAGACCCTGAGTGAGTTGTATATTTGTTCATTAAAAGCTTTAGATGGGTGGTTTTTAACTGCGTTTCTAATAAAAAAAATGTTACTGTATAGGGGAAATGTTATGGCATGTACTCTTTGGGGACCGATGGTTGAGATGCTTTTGACTTACAAGCTCACTACATCAGAGCCGATTGTAATGCTACTCCAGTGTTGCAAAGCTAGGAAATACCAAGGTTATCTTAACACCAATCCCTCTTAAAGTCTTAAGTTTAGTTTTTGCTTTAATATCTAACCTAAGGTGTGATATGAATTAGGCCATGTTCATGTTTCCAACATGTTCAACACCACCAAGGTTATTTTAAATGGGAGTGAGGAAGAATTTGTGGAATTTAAGTCAAGGTATAGATTTTCTGAAAATCTATTACAATTAATGTTACCGGAAGCAAATAAAATATGCACGTAACCTATACTACAAAATATAATACCAGGATGGCTGAAAGATCAAGTAAGGGACTTCGATTTTCAATAACAACAGACAACTCAGACAATAGTGACATAGCAACTGGCCAGCAAGATTTGATTACTATTGAGGCTCTTACAAAACTTCAGGAGGCAAGTGAATTTTAATTTTAAATCCAAAGATGTAAAAAATTAAAATTGACTTCATCTGTGGATGAAAAACAGGATGGGAAGTATTGGGTTTACGGAGAAATTGTGGCTATTGACAGCCACAAAGATTGGTCCTACATTTCTTGCATAGGTTGTAACAGGAAGGTTTCACCTAATGGGGATAGCTTTTGCTGTGTCTCTTGCAATTCAAATGATGTCGTTCTTAGGTTTGTAATCTAGACATAAATTTATGTTTTGAACAATCCCTAGAATTGTTAAAGAAGATATCTCTAATGGAATCAGGTATAAAGTCAATGTCCGTGTTGTTGATGGCACAACACATGCCTCCTTCCTGCTTTGGGATAGGGAGGTCTCATGTTTGCTCGGGAAGTCTGCTGCATCCCTTAAGGAACAAGTATCTAGGGTCCATTTTCATCCTAACTCCTAAGTAATATTTTATCTAATTTCCTCATATATGATGAATGAACTAAGGTATATATTCTTGCAGAGGAACTATGGACCACATTACTTCCCATCTGAGATCAACTCCCTCATTGATATAAAGGCTTTGTTTAAAGTGCAATTTAAAAGAGAAAGCAGGAGCTTTAAAGGAAATCAGACTTTCAGTGTCATAAGGATGAACACAGATGCCAGAGTGTTGGCACTATACTCATCTAAGATAAATGCTGTTGAGGTATAGATATATTTCATTTATCATTCTGTATTAATATGTTATTTGCCAGATTTTTTATATGTTATTGATTCAGGAGGAAGATGAGGAAGATGAGTTCACAAGATTGGCTAAAGAGTTTTCAGGGCCTGAGAGCATGGTATTTTTTAAAAATATTAGGTTAAGGACTATGTAGGGTTGATACTCAGGGACTCAAATATTTTTAAAATTTCAGGCTTTATCATCACAGCAATCTGTTTCTAGCCCACTGTTGACCAAGGAGAAAAGGCATGCTTTGGATGTTGACACTGATAAACTCAGGCGTGACCTCTTTGGAGAGTTTGAAGCTTCAACTTCTACCAAAAAGCCTAGGGGGGTGAAAAGGGAATGAAGACTATGCATTAACTATGTTAATGCATATCAGTGTTCATCTATGTTTTTATGTTATGTATGTTTAATAAGCCCAACTTTGGGTACCTATTTCATGTCTAATGCAGACATTGTTTGAGGTAGGTGTGGCTGTGTCCATCTATGTTTTCATCTTATGTGTGTATCAATAACGCCAACTCTGGATACCTATTTCATTACCGTTTAGGAACTTAGGGTTTGGTTTTGCCAATAGTTTGGCTTTTTGAAATGTATTTGGGCTGGGGACTCGGCCATAAAGGGAGTTCCCATCATGTGTACTAATGAAGCATTTCTATAAAAAAATATTATATTAAGGTATACCTACAGACTCCTATATGTTTTTGCAGTGGACTGGGTGTGTAATCAAAGAATATGGCCTTTCCCTAATTGCTAATTTTGTCTTTCAAAACCAATTTAAGGACTGAGACTAGGGATTTAGTTTTAAAAATATATGTTGTCTTCTTTGTTTTCTAAAGATTCAAGCAAAAGCTGAGATGTGAGTTGAGTGACATACCTATTGTCTCTTCCGGAGGCTGATGTGTTGCCCTAAATCTACCCTAATTCTATTTATTACATTTACAGACCCATGATAAAACAAAACTCTAAAATAAATAAAAACACTTGGTGGCCCTCAATTTTGTGTCATGATGCATATCCCTGCAAGTCCAGGTTTATATCTTCCTCAGAAATGAACAATAATTCCAAGGGTAAAGAAAGAAAATAATTTGTAGTGAGTCGTTGTGTTTAAATTTTTTAAGTGTAATTCATAGCAAAAGATGTGGAAGGAAAAACCGTTTGATCACATAATATACCATTATGCCCCCCCTGATTGGCTGGCATATCCATGGCAGTTAGTTTCACCCAGGCAGATCTTTTAATTCAATTATCTACGTCAATACAAGAATCTTTTTTAAATTCAATTATCCCTGATATACATAGAAAAGTGCACACTTTTTCTGGCAATAATATCAGCAGTTTCGGAGACCATACACTAGATACATATGTTACAACTACTAATTTGCATACATCCTGTTATCTTTTGAAAACGGATTAGGTTCACATTCTAACGTGGAGTATTAAAGAAGGTTTGAAAAGGTGATAATTATATGTACCAGCACCGGTATATTTGGAAAACTGTTTGGTTTGAAATAAAAACAAATGGTATTATTTGTTTTTTTTTTGCAATATTTCCAAGGCTAGAGAAAGAAAATAATTTGTAGTGAGTCGTGTTTTAATTTTTTAAGTGTAATTCATAGCAAAAGATGTGGAAGGAAAAACCGTTTGATCACGTAATATACCATTATGGCCCCCTGATTGGCTGGCATATCCATGGCAGTTAGTTTCACCCAGGCAGATCTTTTAATTCAATTATCTACGTGAATACAAAAATATTTTTTTTATTCAATTATCCCAGATGTAAATAGAAAAGTGGACACTTTTTTTGGCAATAATATCAGCAGTTTCGGAGACCATACACTAGATACATATCTTACAACTACTAATTTGCATACATCCTATTATCTTTTGAAAACGTATTACGTTCACATTTTAACGTGAAATATAAAAGAAGGTTTGAAAAAGTGATAATTATATGTACCAGCACCGGTATATTTGGAAAACTGATTGGTTTGAAATTAAAACAAATGGTATTATTTGTTTTTTTGCAATAATTCCAAGGCTAGAGAAAGAAAATAATTTGTAGTGAGTCGTTGTGTTTTAATTTTTTAAGTGTAATTCATAGCAAAAGATGTGGAAGGAAAAACCGTTTGATCAAATAATATACCATTAATGCCCCCCTGATTGGCTGGCATATCCAGGCAGGTCTTTTAATTCATTTATCTATGATAATACAAAAATCTTTTTTATTTCAATTGTCCCTTATAAAAAAACTGCTTAGTTTTTTGGAATAATATCAAAACTTTCGGAGATCATACACTGGATACATATCTTATAACTACTCATTTGCATACATTCTAACGTGAAATATAAAAGCAGGTTTGAAAAAGTAATAAATATTATGTCCCAGCACCGGTTTTTAATTTATTTTGAAAAAGTGATAAATTCAAACGAATGGTATTACTTCTTTTTTTACAGAGTCGGAATTTATTTATTAAAGGTGCAAACTTTTCCAAATGTACATTAACGAATGGTAAGTGTGATCCACACTATGTTGTGTACTCCCAACATTCCTTTTTTGTTCTAATCTCACTGATTATATATGTATAACGTCATATTGGTAATAAAAATAATTATATGAAAATATTCTTTATTGAAAATACCATCATAAAGGTGTAAATTTGTTGGGTTTTGATGGATATATAAATTCAAATAAGGGAAAGTTCCGTAAATGGGACTATGAGGTTTTCAAAATTTCTAAATAGGACTGTCATTTTTTTATTTCCAAATATGACAAATTGATTACAAATTTGGAATACAAAGCCATGTTTGCAGTATGTTACTGTCAAAACAAAACATAACAGTAATTAGTCCTGCTTTGGGATAACAACATGGAAGTCCTATATAGCAATTCTCAAACATTTAATAAAGTCTATTAAAATATTGGATTCAAGTTTATCATCTTTCACTGCAAATTTCAATTTTGGGAAACTAAAAACCGAAGCAATTGTTATATAAATCTATTTGCTGAAAAAATTAGTGTTGTAATTTTGAACAGGCGGGTGGCATTATGTATTACAGAAATATCAGTTTAAAAAAATATCACTGGAGTACACAAAATATTGAAAACAGTAGTTCCTAGATCTGGTGAGTTTAATGTTGTGGCAAATATTTGCACACATCAATGAATATCTTCAGGATCAGACTGTGGAACTTGTGCTTTTACATGATTGGTTGGTTTTGATTTTGTAAATAGTGCACTTAGTGGACGAATGGTGTGTGTTTTGAGTTAGTGGAGATCATTATTGCATTTCACTGTTTTTGGGTTAAAACTTTGGTATTGTCATAGCAAGTGCATTACGTATTAACCTACTATAAATACCGAAAGATCAAAAATAAAATTACCATTGTGAAAAATCTATCTCTTCCCCTGTGAAAGTTCTTGGCTTCTCTACATCAGTGTCCGGTTGCCTTCAGCTGGGACTACTACCTGGATCAACATGTGTGGAGTGAAAGGTTATTAACTACTGTTTAACTGATTCTATAGCTAATAACTAATTAAAATAGATTATCATCACAGTTATTTTTAGCTTAAAATGAATGTTTTCATGGGGTTATTTATTAGGTCCTTCGTGTTTTTCTGGATTAATGTTTTAAGAGCTGACGGCAAAGTGAAATTTGAGGTTTTTTTGAGTGGTTTAGGTGAAGGTTTGAAGTCTGGTGGTTTCATAAGAGAGTGTGCAGTCTGTTTTGAACTCGGACTCGGTGAGAACATGCACACGCAAGGCTGTGCATGTAATTTGTGGTACTGTCGTCGCTGTGAGGTCTCCTACGGTCTCGGTTTTCTCCGTGAAAGGTCCCCATTGAATATTCTATCACACGTGCTTCTTTCGCGTTCATCTGGGGCGAATGATGTCCGCAGGTTTGTCCCAGACGTCGTAGAGTCTTCGGGGATGAAAAAAATCCCTCTAAGGGACAAGGTGATAGCGCGGCGGTCTGCACGTGCTGTCCGATTGAACAAAAACTACTTTGGGGGGGACTTTGTTGTGAACGGTGATTTTGGTTGGCTGACTAAAGCATAATCACTTGCTGTATGGGAAAGTTATTATGGATTAATGTCCTAAGCTGTGCCTGTTGTTGACTCTGTTTATGTTCTGTTGACTCTACTTATGGTCAACGACTATGTATTTTCCCCACAAATCTAAAATCTAAAAGAATATGACAGTTTGCAAAGTTTTTTTAACTGTGTGATGAAGGATCTAAGACTAGGCACAGTGATGTGATTGCTATTTACTCTAATTATGTTCAGAAACTATGTATTTTGCCCATCAATCTAGAATCTATTATAATGTTTAATTTTGCTGAGTTTTTGTAGTCTTTTCTGATAAAGTGTGTCTCTTATTCGCATTATACATCTTTCTGTACTCACATATAAGTCTGTTATTAGGTAATTGATGCAGGGTTCAGGGCTTTAGTTATGGTTAAGATAACTAAATCATGTGTGTTGGGATCCAAAAGATCCAATCCAGGTAAACTCTTACAGCTAATAAAGCAAGCATATTACTGTTTACATACCAATTGTTGGGAATTCTATCTGGCGTGCAATTTATACGCGTTAACTTTTAGAGCATTTTATTTTGAGTGGTTTCTTGAAGTTTCTAGAGGGGAAATGTGGGTTATTATTTTAACTTTGTAGGTCATCCGCAGTGTTACTATAATGTGAAAGGGTATTGATTTTGAGAAAGTATTACCATTGACACATCCTTCTCCACTTCTGTTATTCTGCAGATGTAAACGTAGTATTACCATTACTTAGAGTATATTAAAAAAATCGAAAGTATAAGGATGTGGTTCTCACCTTGAGTAACAGGGTATGCCTTTAGTGCTCGGTCTCTTATGTCCTTGGCCTCCTATAGTGAATTTATTCCTCCCATGCCATAATACAAATAGAAGAATAGTATTAATGGGTTTTATGTTGTTGGGATCGACTTTAGAAATAAATGAAAAAGTTTCCGTACCTCATGATGCAAACTTGGGATGGTCTAACGTTCTCCTATTCCAGGTGCAATTCCAGTTTGCAAAAATTTTGTGGTTAGTGATTAATCAAATAATTTCAGCGTAAATGTATGTAAATAAATATTTACAGATCAGTGGTTGACAGGGAATCATTTTACGAAATAAAAGTATAACCATTTCTTCTTTCTCCGAACGCATGATTTCCTCTGTATCTCTTTATATCTGTCGTGGTACACAATGAAAAAAAAAGTGTGAACCTTATTGGCATAATGTTAAGGAGTAGGAGTAACAAATAATATTCTGGGTTTAGATGTTACCTTTTGTGTTGATGGCCGCCTTGGTTGATTTCTGTCTTTCAATCTTTTGTGTTGATGTTTTGACCCATTTCCTCGCATTCCATTTCAGAAAAAAGATTTGTATTTAGGGGGTAGTAGGGGTTTCGGGTAAGAAATGTGAACAAAGGATTTTTACATACATTATAATTATAGGGAGTGGGTCCTGGATTTTGATTCGTAGAAAAATAAGATGTTTCCCATCTTTATTTCATGTGAAAATGTGTGGAAGGGAGTGTGGTTGTACATTATTGATGTTGTTGTTATCATTTCAAGATAAGTTTGAAACAAGTGTTTTGATCTGCTCGAGATACTGTTTGGCATTACGAGGCATTAAATTTTGTTGGGTGGGGT